GGACTCTTTTTAGGCATTTTCGGGCGTACGTCGAGCGCAGGTAAGACTCTGTGTGGCAGAGGTGTCACCGTTGGTTTAGTTACTCAAGTTTGAGGTACTTTCTCTCAGCGGAAAGTACCTGAGGGTTGAGCGGTCCTCCACAAAGGACCGTGCGGCCCTCGAAATTTTTGCATATTCTCGCGGAAAGTCCGCGAGAATGCGGCCACTGCGCCGCAGCTAATCCATAAAGAAACCGCGATTGTTCTTCAAGCTTTCGTCTTTAATTTCGCCAACTTTCTTCCAAATTTCTGCAAGCGGGCCGCAAAAAACGAACTATTTTTCCGGTGCCCGCCTGCCCATAAATCGCATCGCCGCTTGCCCCCGGCGATTATCTGAGTAGAGGTTATCTAGCCTCTTCTGATTACGAAAAACACACCTGCTTTGCAAATTAGCGTCTGACTGTGGGGTTACGGTAAGTGAAATTTGAACAGGAATTTTTTCGGGATTCGCCGGCCTATCCAGGGCCCGGCACAGTTGGTTTGGGGTCAAACTGGACTTCGTAAAAATTTGCGGAGTCATGGAGGACTTCGTTTTCAAAAGTCCTCCAAACCAACGCGTACCGGGCCCTGGGCCTACCTCTCTGGAAAAAAGTCTCCGCAAATCGTCGGTGCATGCTAAACTACCTGGACAACTCTACCGAACTCATGCTTACTAAAGTCCTTTAAGTGTGTTTTGCGCTGCGTTACACCATTGCGAATACCCATCCCCACAATAAAAATCGAGCAGACTGAAAACGGAATAAGATAGTGTAGCATAGCATAAGAAACTGAGCATCACAAATTTTTCGGATTGATTTTTCATGCTATCTGAAAGAAGTTATGGAGAAAAAAAACGAAAAAACCGAATCGTCAGTTTTTGCGTCTTCTGTCGAATAATTAATGGTACTGTAGAGCGCGTTCGGCGGATGCTCGCAAGGGGTATTGAAGACGCCAAACTTATCCTTATATTCTCCAGTTCTATTAAGTGAGTGAGAGAACTTGAAGAGAGTATGCAGAGAATGAAGCAAATTTGACACAAAACGGTAAAACTGCGGTGTGGCCTTGCATATTAACAAGTTTTCTAAGGCCCTGGACAAACCTCGCGATTTGATCGTCGCGACTCAGTCGCCAACATTTCCATTCATTTTCATTTCACATTCAAAAATTTCGGGCTGGAAAAGTATCACAACCGAAATGCAAGTTGATCGGCATGGAATGATGTTGTAACAATTGTCTCTTCGCGATTCAGTCGCGACGATCAAATCGCGTGAAGTCTGCCCGGGGCCTGATACATATCATTTTTGGGGGCTAACATCACAACCAGAGTAGTATAGTTACAATAGGAATCAAGTACTCTCAAATACAAATATGTTTACGACTCTATGAGCTAAAACTTTCAAACAACAGAACGCGAGGTGCTTCATTTTCATTTGATAGCTTGCGGCGGTCGCTCTATGGCAAGGTGTATCCTCTTCATCGATGTTTGCGAACATTGATGCAATGGAGCCATTTCAGTACAAGATCCGAACGCTCGGAAAGGAGCAAAACGAAGAAGAAGAGATCAAGGAGAAGCGATAGCGAGAGAAGCGAGAGAAGCAGCAGAAGCAGGAGTAGGAGAAGACGTAAGATAACTTGCCCGTAGAAAGCGGCTTTGAAAGTAGTTGTTGTGTTTTGCAGAACATAGGTGTCGAGATCGGGAAGAAGCGGCTCTAAGAACCATAGATCTTCGAAAAGGTCTTCGAAATCACACAAAAGCAAGCGAAGATCAAGAAGATCGCGGCGATCACGCAGATCTGAAAGGAACAGGGGAAGGGTAGGCAATCTTATGCTTTAGCGCCACCATCAATGGATCTATGATCTCGGTCTCAGATAGTCGTCTCATCTAGAGTTTTCGTAAAGGGTCCAAGCATTAGAAAACTTACCCCCCCCCCCGCCTCTTCCTTACTCCGCCCAGCTTCGCTTGTATGGGGTAGGCGACCCTTCCACCGCACATACTACTGTGACTAAAAAATGAACGAAGAGTTTGCCTACTGAGCCGTTGCCATTAGCGGTCGGTAGCTTACATTCAAAAAACTCTAGCTGAGAAGCGGTAGGCTACCTAAGAAACGGGTACAGGAATATGTGTTTTCAAATAAAGAGTGGTATCATAAAAATCAGTCGTTCATCTTCTTCGACCGCGATATCTACACTCTGTGTCAGCCGTGCTCTTTTCGCCGTAGCAAATACGCATGCGCAAGGGTCATTGCGCAGCGATCTCCGATCGATGGCAAGTTTGAACGCACAAGCGGTAGTCCCGAACGAGGCATGAGGCTCTAACGTTGCGCTTGAGCTGACTGCAAAAGGAGCACATCATTGACACAGACTGTATCTCTCTGCTCGCATCACTATTGCCATACTCCGGAGCCAGATGCGAAAAGCGTATCTATGTTCTCAGCTAATCCATCCATTCGATTCATTGGCTTCGCCAGCGATTTACTCCAGTTTTTGGAGCCTACGGGCCACATCTCTCTACGGTGCAATAGAAGTATGGAATTTCTTTGCAATGTATCGCAAAGAAATTCCGTATTTCATCGCTGACCCATAAACGGGATTGCTCTCATGTATAAACTGCGACTACTGTACCAGTGTGTCTCCAAAGAGCCGGGCATACATCACGCGATTTCATCACTTCGCGATTCTCCCAACTGGACAAGTGACACGAGTTCATTGCATGCCAATCATCTTGTACTCCGTTGTGATAGTTTTCCGAAGCGACCAATCGAACTAATTACCATAATGAAATGAAAGATGATCGGCATGCAATGAACTCGTAACAGTCGTCCTGCTAGAAGAATCGCGAGGCGATGAAATCGCGTCATGTATGCCCGGACTCTACAGTTCTTGAAAATTAATGGCGACATCCGACTGAGTCGCAATTGGCTGCCTGAGTCAACCAGCCAAATGCCACCAAAATGGTGAGCGATTGCACCCATACAGTATCCTGCAGCCAATCGCTGTTTTCGGTGGCTCTCTTTCATCCCTACAGCAACCTCCAAGGTCGGAAAACGCCTTGAACACTTCTACAGTTTTGCGAGACTTCAAGCACAGTCCTGGACCGAGCTTCCAGAAGGTCAAAAGCAATGAAAAGCTCACAACTTTTTCCAGCCAGTGCCTCTAACGACGAAGACAGTTATAATATAGCTGTGGCAGTCCTCAGCGAATCGTCAATCGTCGTATGCACTTGAACAAGCATTAAATTTAGAACACTATCAAGCTCATCTACAAAAAAGGGCATCGCTATGTGAAAATCACACTTCGTTGCTGTGTCTCAACTCATAAAACAGGTATCCCGTTTACGGACAATAAGACCATCCAACTAACACTATCCGTTTCCAGCATCAAGTGACTGGACGAGTTCCGCGCTCTATCGATCTCACTGATTATTTTGATACGACCATTACAATTCTAGCTGACTACATCGAAAAAAGGAGAGATAGAAGTATAAGATTGGCTTTATGTGTTCGAATGTTTATTGTTCGTGTTTAAGGCTAAAATATCATTCTACGCTTTGGCAGAGCTACTGAAGCTCACAAAGACTTTTGTGATGGAAGATCTACAAAGGCGCCTTGAAGAGGTGAAATTTTCCACTTGTAGACATTTGCCTATATTCTGATCAAAGTTTGAGATTACTTATTGCCCTATGAATTTCAGATCCTCATTTTGACCGCCGATACTTCTACCGATCATCTCATACAAGCGGTTCTTGTAGCTGGCACATCAAACATTACAAAAGAGGTAAACACGCCCAGACAGCAGAAACAGAAGGGTGATCTCGGTTGCAGACGGAGAATGCCCTGCATTATCTCGCCGCTTGGAGTTTTGTGGAAATGGCCAAGTTACCGGACTTCCAGCGCATTCCGTACCACCAGTTTGTCATGCTTCTAGCCAGGTAAGCCAATAATTGTGGGAATGTCAAAACTTTAGGCACTCAGCTCTCTGCCTTATACCCACTCCGTCAGCGCAAATTCGGACAAGGGAATGCATATGGTTTGACCAATCCAACCATGCTGCGCATCAATGCACTTGCTTTGAATGATCTGCTAAGCGTATGGAAGGAGTTATGATACTTCAAACATGACAACATACTCAAGTCCTAGTGAACAACGTTCGTTAGAAGGCAGCCTGAGGGTGTGTAATCGCAATGATCATGGGTATCCCATTACAGAGAAGCACACTTACTAGAAACCTGAATAAGGTTTTAGAAGGTTCTCCTTGGAACATGCGGAAGACTCAATAAATCTTCACTTTAAACGCTCATAACTCCTTCCAAATAAGCATTAGCGGATAATGCGAGTGCGAACAGCTTGTCCTGAGTTGGTCGGACCAAGTTCTGACATTCCCTCGAGCCTTTCGAAAGGCGCATTTAGCCTCTAACCATAATCATTTCTCCACCGATCGTTTGGCTTACAGCTGCGAGCTACATGTTGCTCATGAAGTCGTCGCTGCTGATGCCGCTCTTCTATGGCTTGTCGGTCAACCTCATCCAGCTGTTTACGTGCCTGGTGTATTTTCCGTGGTAACTAATTTTCAACTTTGCCGTAAGACCATTATTCAAAATTCGAACTGCACTCAGATTCGTTCCGCTTATCTAAGTAAAGTAGATCGTCAGCTCATCGTAGAACGCATCGCTACTCTGCAAATGCCGGAATCGGTATGCCTGGGCCATAAGCGGAGTGAATGCTTAGCTTTTTTCAATGCAGGTGGCTCGTTTCGCCAAAAATTCGATGGAGTCAAAGCATAGTAGCCGAATCTGCCTTGAAGGAACACACATCAATCGTCATCTAGTCCGTTGTGGTATACCAGATCCTGAGAAACGTCCGAAAGAGACACAACTAGTATTGAGCAGACCACGTGAGGAGATCAAATGGAGTTAGAAAAGTAAGCGCTATAAGTAGAAGAAACTCGGAGGGTTCGCTTTTATATGATATTATGTCTTTTCTAGATCTAGAAGAGCAGAAAAAATCGAGGAGATCGAAAAGATCGAGAAGATCCAAGAAGTCCAGAAGTAGAAAGGTCACTGGAAACCATTTTCTCCTCAAGTCTTTCGAAATTAATGTTTTGCAGAATAGAAGAAGCAGCCAAAGCAAAAGATCTAGCCGCAGGAGTAGATCGCAGCGTTCATCGAGAAGTAAACGGTCGCCAAAGTAAGTAGAGTGATGAATCTCATTGACAATTTTGATTAAGGGAATAATCGAGGTACAGTCTGTGTCAATCGTAAACTTCCTTTTCCGCACGCGCATCGTCACATCAACGCCTCGCGCAACGTCCGTGAGCGAGCAACATGACCATACAAGTCGGCTTCATTGATCGCAGGTCGCAACGCAAGGCTCTTGCGCTGGAATGCTCATCCTTACTCAAAAGAACTGGCCGATTGATACAGACGATAAACAAAGTGTGAAAGTACTCAAAGTTGCCCCATGAAGCTCATTTTTTATGGAAATATACAGCCATTCTACATCGCACACTTGTGCTAATGAACAAATATTGCTCAATTCTTTTTCAGATCGGAAAGATCCGGATCAAAAAGCAGACGCTCGAAAAGAAGCAGTAAATCGTCAAAAAGACGTCACAGATCTAGCTCAGAAAGACGTCGCAGCAGGCATGAAAGTAGAAGCAAAAGCAAGAGGAGCCAAAAATCAGAACGTAGTAATGGAAATGGTGAAAGTAGGAAAAAACGCGCGAAGGAGGGCGAAGAATCGGGGTGAGGAGTAATCTAGCTCTGGACTTGGTCTGATAAAAAAAAATCAATTCCAGGAGCGACAGAAGCGAGAAGAGGCGTGGGAAGAAAACGAGGGACGAGTAAAATTCTTTGACAAAGCCACTGATACAGCGTAGATGAATTTTGATGTAGTAAAGCAGTATGTAGCTGTATTAAAGCTGTTGCCCAGGCATAGATGCGTAGTCCCTTGAAAAGATGTCTATGTAGGTACGAACATCCCCAGACACAGTGTATCATATGCTGGAAAAGAAAGTAATCATCCTTAACACAAACAAAAACGAAATAAAGGTTTAGTCCTGCAAAACTCGAAATTCTTGATTCAGAATTCTCAAAGCTGAGCAATGTAAAAATTTCGACGCAGAACTCCTGCTAAAGCTCCTGCTGCCTACGGAAGATTTTTTGAACGTAATCCACAAAGAATATTTATGATGGCGAAGGTGTTGGTAATGGCTACGAAAATTCCTACTGACACCGTTGCGAATTAGCAACTTTTCTTCAACGACTGTCAATCGTCAGGAGTTGAGAAAAATGGGTGTATGTCAAGAGGCGCGATTTTTATTGCCAGATCGACATTAAACAGCGCATTTTTAGTATTTTATGACGTCCTAAGAGCGATTCAAATTTCTAACAAATAATGAAATGCGTGAATGTCTCATGGAAAGCTTAATCTTATTATCTTGAAATATTAGGTTGTCAAGAAAATAATGTCGGTTTTTATTTGCTTGCTTTAACAAAGCAACCAGACTCAACCCAACAAAGGGTAAGGGGTACTGTTCGATAGAGCAAAGCAAGCTCTACAAGATGGCACTCATATCTTTGCGCCATGATCGATCCACGGAGAGTTCGAACTCAAAATCTAAAGATTTCCAAATGCCCAAAAATCGAAAAAAATCAGATCTTCGTCCAAATAATTTCTACGGACCTCCCACTCGCTCACATCAATACTATCGATATCTGATATCCATATGTGCAATTGCCGTATTTTTTCCTTGACTAGAAACTGAGAAAACGAAAATTTCCCTGATTTTCTCAAAGCAATGCTGAGCCATTTTTGCATATGTAGTTCTATACTACAAGCCTAGGTAAGTATAACTGTAGATTTTCAGCCTATTCCAAGCGGTAGTTTTCGAAAAATAACGAATTCGGTTTTTTTTGTTTCAGTTTCAGTGCCAAAATCGACATTTCTCGAAAAGTACCGCCCGAAATAAGCTCAAAACCTACAGTTATGCTTACCTAGGCTTGTAGTATAGAACTACATATGCAAAAACGGCTCAGCATTGCTTTGAGAAAATCAGGGAGATTTTCGTTTTTTCAGTTTCTAGTCAAGGAAAAAATACGGCAATCGCACATATGGATATCAGATATCGATAGTATTGATGTGAGCGAGTGGGAGGTCCGTAGAAATTATTTGGACGAAGATCTGATTTCTTTCGATTTTTTTGGGCATTTGGAAATCTTTAGATTTTGAGTTCGAACTCTCCGTGGATCGATCATGGCGCAAAGATATGAGTGCCATCTTGTAGAGCTTGCTTTGCTCTATCGAACAGTACCCCTTACCCTTTGTTGGGTTGAGTCTGGTTGCTTTGTTAAAGCAAGCAAATAAAAACCGACATTATTTTCTTGACAACCTAATAAATTCAAAACATAAGTCTTGGAGGTCAATACCCGTCAAAATAAAAACATTGGCGTTTTCGTGAATATCTCAATCGAGTTTTTACCAAAAGCCGTCAAACTTATTAAGTGGTAGCTTCAGATGCTTAGTAAGCTAGGACATTTTGTCTGGTATTCTTGAAAGACTCGCATAGGTCTATCTAAACTGAGCTTTTAAGTTGGTAACTTCTAAAAAAATCGCGCCTCTTGACCGTCTCCCTAGGAAAATTTGTGACACAGAAGTCGCTCCCGTCAATGATGGAGCCGTCATACTCAGCTGTAAATTTGCAATCAATTGGGTAAATTTGCATGAAGTTCGTAAAAACTTGTTGTCCCGAATGTTGTACTGTTTTTTGAGGAGCAATTCACGTAAGTTTATATCCAGACTGATTTGTCTTTGAATCACTCAGGTAATTGCCGCAGCTGTGAACCAATTCTTTACCTCAGGCAATGTTAGGTAATTTTCACTATTTTGACCCAATACCCTATGGACGAGATTGACAATCTTCAAAAAAGCTGATGAATTTGGCGGATAATTCCTTTTAGCTTCTATAGTAGTCTGTGAAGAACCAAATATCGATCTGATAATATTTTAAAAGTGACCAAATACCAGATTTCGTCAATTTAAATCTCGTCAAACGCCAATTCGTAGATATCCCTGCAGGTGCAACAGAATCTTGTGGGACTGATTCATGCTAATGAATATATTATAATCAGAAGCCAAAATTCAAAACTAGTAGATATTGCAAAACACCTCTTCCTTTTGAGATTGACTGTCAAAGTTAAACTTCGAAAGATTCCAATTTTCGAAATTCTAAAGAGAAGAGACTGATGTAATTAGATACGGGACTACCAGCAATCAATCAAAACAATGTGAAGAAATTAGTGTAAAAACTTTGCTCCGTTCAGCATATCAAATTTTTGCAAGATCTAAATCTCGAATTTTTGCTATTGACTTAGTTGCAATTTGAAAACAAATTTTTAGAATAGACAACATTTGAGTGAGCATCAGGGCATTTTGCTATGTATCTCTCGCATCGAAGCACTGTTGAAAGTTCTTCTACATTTTTTATCTGTAGGCTGTAAAAGAGGAGCCACCATCCGACACAAGCCCTTCTCTTCGTTGCCAATTTGCGAGCTACAACTTAAACTTTACTGCGGTTATAAGGTAAGGCTGCGTGCAGCTCTAGCACGGTACTGGCACGGTGCTGGTACAGCTGCGCCACACCGGCCACTCTGTGCGCCGTGAAAGTAATGTAAGAACGTCTTGCCAGATACTGTGAATTAGCTTGCGTATCAGAAGAAAACACCCCGCTTCCTCGAGAGTTATAGATCCTTGTCCGCCCAAAATGCAGAACTGGTTTTATTTTGTTGAGATACACTCTTGTCACAATCAATGCGACAGAGATCAATATATGATGAGGGCACATATAGAAATTACAAAAATAGGAAATCAGCCCGTGAGCGAACGATATCACAAGCATTGAAAAAACTGGGCACTGAAAAAATTTGACAAGGCGGACAGATTGAAGAAGTGCCAAGTGAAGTGGATTAGGTGAGGTAAGGAAAGAGTCAAATTACAGTAAGCTAAGATACTATGGAACCGGAGAAAAATTGCGATGCCATGCAAATACAAGGATGGTGTTAGAAAAGTGTAAAGGGCTAAAGGGGCTAGACAATCTGTAATAGACTATGAATCGAAAACAGTAATGCACAGGCTGATAGAATTCTGAAAAGTGCAAGAATGTGAACTTTGAACATTATTTCAGGGGAGAAAACATAGAGATCGGCGTACGATGCTCAATGGCAGCGAGCTGCGAGCAGGATGCAGCTATGTCAAGATGCTCACTTGAGTTGAACCGTTTCAGTGTAAACTGCGACATAGATCTCCTTCTAAGGAACTTTATGGGAACCGGAACGTTACCACTGTCACGAGCTCTAAACTTCGAAGTTGAGGCACACCGGAGTGGAAAATTCTATAGCAGAAAAACTGACAGAATATTGACTGACTTTGCCAATGCCTTCGCATGTGCCAGAGACGCTCCACAATCCGATGATCCAGATCCGATTGCACTATCATCATAAGCTTGTTCGCGTCGTCCAGCTGTTGCCAAACACACCATTGACCTGAAGTTCAGTAAAAGAAAAGATATCTGCAAGACACAAACATTCTTCATAAAAGCAATGAGTCACTGTTCCATCAAATTTCGGGATGACTGTACTTGACGGTACAATTACAGCCCATGTCAATCGCTACTCCCTTTTGAGCCGGCGCGATCGCAAAAGTTTTGCGTCACCTTCGCGCGCGTTCAGCTTGCGCATTCAAATCGGCCCCATCCGCTCAGGGTCCGCCCTCTCAGAAAGACTATTGATAACAGGAGAGCTATTACCATTGTGGTACGTTCCGGAAGCAAAATATTGGTCATAGCTTCTTTAAGCGGTTCATATCTTCAAAATCGCAACTTCTCACAATATTCTTGTAACAAGCTTCCTAGTTAGTTATTACGTTAGCAATTTCCACTTCGCATTTTGATAGTTTTTCTCAAAGAAAATATAGCAGCTATGTAAGGAAGACAGATGGAAACATTGATATGGGCAGTAACCTTCCCTTCTGAAAAGTCGGCTACCTATTATTGGCACTGTTTGCTATTCACAAACAAAAGAATGCAAATAAACGAAAAAAAAAACTAGAAATACAGATCAACAACGTCTCGTCTTACCCAGCTATATTTCTATTCTTCAGCAGAATCTTCTCCACAGCCGGTTTTGCAGCACTTCGTGTTACTGCCGGTGGTGCTTCAGATACAGTTTCCGGAGTGACGTCACCCACATTCTGTGGACCATCTCCGTTGGCTGCTGGATTACGACCTTGACGAGAGCACTGAAACACGAGGTCCCCAATTGGAAAATGCTTATTTTGACATATAAGGCTTACCAGCAATGCATATTCTTTGTCGGTGGGATGAATAAATTCGCAACGAAGTCCGTATGGGCAATAGTTGGACGAATAGGGGCCAAAATTTTTACACAGTTTTGTTTTGTATCGTGAATTCAGCTGACGCTGTGGCTGCTAAAAAGATATGCGAGACACCAACGGAGAACACCGTATTCGCTCAAGGAAATTGACTTACTGTCTCGGCTACTCGAAGTTCCTCTGGTCCATGCGCAAATTTGCAACGGCTACCCATTTCACACTGTCTTCCAGACGCATAGGTCATGCACATTTTAGTCTTGTAGTTCGATGCAGGTGGTGCAGGACGTCGTTGGCGAAAAGCGCGCTAGAACAGAGGCATAAATAATTTTCCGTACCTTCAGTCAAGTTCCCTACATCGTATTCCCTTTCGTTAAAAACTTCGAGTGTCGTGTCTTGTTCCTCAGAGACCACAGATATCTTCGAGAGGTTGGCAAGTAAATCATCATGATCCAGTTGTGGATTCCTATACCGGCAAATTGCAGTTGCGAAACTCAGAAGCACTCAGCACCAACCTGTGGTACTTTACGTGGGCATTTCCTGGATACTGCATTTGATTACCCATTTGTGGAGGAATTTGTATGTACTCTGTTGGTAAAGGTGTGGATGTACTCAGCGGGCGAACAGCCGGCTTCGGTTTGGTCACTAGGTTGCGTATTCAAAGCAGGAAAAAACTTTGCAGATATATTAATAGAAATAAAGTACTGTAACATCAATCTGAACGAGAACTTACTTTCAGCGGCCACTACGGTATGTGGCTGAGCTATCTGTGGTGTCATCGCAATCGTTGGTTGCATATACATTTCAGGTGAGTAGAAGATTGGTGTAGCTGTGGCTGCCGCCGGTGTCGCCGTAGGAACCGAGTAGTATACTTGTGCGGTTGGAGATGGCATGTAGATAAATCCCGGCTGCCCTAAAAACTATCATAGTGTCATGACTAATTACCTACTACGCTAGTCCAAAATGGTATACTCGAATTTTCACGCACTGAATTTCCTTTCTTCAACCCATCATATCATCTGTTACCCTCACCTTCCGACAAGGTTCTCTTATCTGGAGTAGATTTTAGCTAAGGCTCTGAACTCTTTTTTTTAACAAAAATTAGACTTTAGCTGAAGCACTGAACTCTACGGAACATTCGTCGCATTTTTTAAAATTACTTCGGGTAATAAGAATGTGCAAGTGACTTCTTTAAACTTGTAAATAATCAACATAATTTTCTAAAAAATTTTTAAAAATTTAAATTAGCCTTGTAAAACAAATTTTCGGAGTGATCGCACTCATTTTTTAAATGAAGTGCGTGACTAACACCACGTGATTCATTCGAAAAAAATTTTTGCCGTCTCTCCCCCCCCCCCCCCCGGACGCAAATCCTGCGACCGCCACTGCTGAGGACTCATTTTTCTACGCACCAAAGTTATAGATACATGAATACAGCTCATGTCCCACGGAAATGAGGTGAATTGATGATAGGGTAAAAGGCCATACCAAACCGAGCTTTATTTTTTATCAGTGATTCAACCACGGGAAGGGGATTTTATTCTGCTTCATCGAATTAGGTAGAGACTTATTCGCACGCAGAAACAGGGCGCCATTGCGGACGTTGTCGGCGTCTCCCACATCGAACTTAAAGGCAGCGGACAGGCAAAATGGACCCCTGTCAGATTTTGGTAGTTTCGGGTAGTGGACCCCCCAAGTACACCGTAGCCCCAACCCCACATTCCAATTCATGCGCTAAGTCCTGAAAAAAGCGCTTCAAAACTCCACCAGCCCCGCCCACTTGCATTGAGTGGGCGTTATTGGTGGAAGTTTGAAGCGCTTTTTTCAGGACTTAGCGCATCAATTGGAAGTTGGGGTTGGGGCTACGGTGTACTTGGGGGGTCCACTACCCGAAACTACCAAAATCTGACAGGGGTCCATTTTGCCTGTCCACTGCCTTTAATATCAATCCAACCACTTGCTGTCTCTCCCGAACATGTACTACTTTACTCGGACGCAGCGGCGTTTATTCTCTGCAATGATTTGCCTGCATCGTCTCAGCCGCACAAAAAGAGATGCGAGATGAAGAGAGACCGCAAAATAAGGTTTCGAGCATTGTGACACCATGCTACACTCGTTTCCAAATCGTTAACGTGAGTTAGACGAATAATTTCGGAAGTTAATTTTTCTGGGAAAAATTTGGAACGTCTTGGCTTCTTCGACTTTACTGAAGCTCTTAAACCTAAAGCTGGGAACCTAGCATTTCATGATTCTTGAAGCGATTTCTTTGCCTCCAGCCAAACCTTTCGCCTCCGCACATCAAGAACCTCAATTAGGCACCGCCTCCGAACTAGTGGTCACGCGACGCACAACAGTAGGACGAAAAGACCAGCAGCCCGCGGAGGGGTGCCTAATTGAGGTATTCGTTCCTCTAATCCAGGAAGTTTGAATCCCGAGTCTGGCTGCAGATGTTTTTCGATCTGCGCTAGTCAGCCAACAAATAATTACATTTCCACAACTTCAATAATCGCTGAGCGCTAAAAACGAGCGAAAAGCTCCTGCTTATGCCGTCTTTTTTTGCACAAGTAAAGGCGAAGAAATCACCACTAATCTATCATAAGAAACACATTTGCGCTTCGCGCATGTGCAGTTGAAGGGCAATACTTGTATTTCAACCCATTTTGTATGATTCACTGATTGCCGTGAGAGAAATAACAAATTTTTGTTTCGTTTCAGACACATGCAATGTCATGCAAAGCGTTCTCGAGCCGGTCACTTCCACAACAGATATTTATCCACTTAGTCAATTTTACATTTTTGAGATTTGTATTACGTACCGACTGGCATCATAACTGGTTGTGAAGCTTGTGTCGGAGCTGGCGTCATCATATACGGTTCTCCATAAAAACCTCCAGTAAGCTGATAAGACATTCCCGGTGGAGCTGCAGGAGGTTGTGCAGTCATAGGTGCATAATAGAACTGAAAATTGGAAATCTACCAAATACATAAGTAGTTGTTGTGTTAAAAACCTGATTTGGGTCAAGGATCTGTCCTGCTGCTTGCATTTGTGCTAAATTGATTGGCTTTTATGTTATACCTGATGTGCACGGATGTGAAAGTGATGAAACAGGTAGATAAAGCCCCTGCTGTTGTATGTTAGTCAGGTTGAGAGGATTTTGGTAATCTGTAACGATAAAATGTTAGGACTGGAAAAAAATTTCCGCTTGTACAATTCCTACATAGCATTTGTGCTGATAATTAGAATTGATCATGAAAAAGACTGAGGGAGAGTCATGGAAGCGAGAGAGAGGCGTATGAACGGCCAAAACACTCTCATAAACCGCGGGCCCGCCAAACCTCTCATTGATTGAACTCATGACCGGAGATCAAAAGATCTCATTTTAGCCGTTCCGCTATGAAGGATTACAGAAAAGAATGACTACGACGTATCTGAAAAGTTCCCATTGTGTTCGATTCTGTGATTATGACACTACATAGAATGATAAAATGGCAAGCTGTTGCTTACATATTTGCGCGTAATCAACCCAGCAAGAGAAATTGTTGATCTAATTTCTAACGTAAGATCAGCCACCAACTTTTTGAAACTGAGTAGGGGGGTAAACTCGCGGATGGATAACGGATACATCTATCTGAACATTTCTAGCTGTCAAAGCTCATTCCAGCCAGTTACCACTTCTATAAAATTTACAGACTAAGGTCAGCTCAGCTGATGTTAGAAGGGTTTGAATTCTGGTCACAAGCTATAAATTTGTGGAACTGTTGGGGCAGCCTGTGTGCTTGCCATCAAGTTCGAGTATCTTTTCCTTCTGAGCTGCGCCAGATTCTCACAATACCAGAAAGTGATAGCGGGCAACATTTTAGTAAAACACAAACGTCCATCCCTGACCAAAATTACCTTTGTGAAGCTCTTATACCTACCTTTCTCAATTTCAGACACCATGTTGGAGCTGTTGAAGCTCAAGTCAACTAAGGCACAGCGAACAAGTGCTTTCACAATGGCAATACATACGAGTTTCGTTGCGCGTTAATGTGTTTCCCTTTTTCATTTCAGACTTTGAGGAATATTTGAAAATCCCCCAGCAAAGCTATTTTTGTAATTAGTTCTGCCTTTACACAATTCGCATTAAGATAAAAGGAAAAATCACACAAATTCTGTGATGAAAAGCTCATATCTATGTAAATTTTCGGCTTTCAGATTCATGTAGAGGCGGGTTGCGGACTTCCCTGATTTCCAGGATAAACTTGTTAACACGTTGACGACCGGCCATTTTTGACCACATCAAAATGGAATGATGACCTACGGCTGCGGTTTAAACTGTTTAAGAGCTACCGCAATGCCGTGTGTTCTGTATGATAACCAGGCCACCAGTGTTATCAACGCATATTACCTGAGAACTTTTCGTTTCCACATGATAAATTGATGCACGAAAGTGCTAAAAGGTGGTCAGAGCGTGCATACGCGCGGATGCACATGGTCGTCAACGTGTTAAATCTCCACGTTATAGCATTGTATTTCGTACTCTTTCGGTAAGCTTATCCTTAAAATCAAGGGAGTCCGCAACCCGCCTCAATTCTGGGAGCTGATCATATGTATATAGCAGGCCGCGAAATGCGAACTCGTGTACCATTTGATTCAACTGGCTTGGCATCGGCAAAGGCGAGGCTTCATGACCTAATTAAGGCTAGGTAATGATCAGAGAGCACTCGCGCGAGAGAGACGCAGGTGCGTCGCGGGCGCGAGCGGCCTCAATTAGATCACAAAACCCCGCCCTGATAGTGCCAAGCCAGTTGAATCAAAGGTTATGTATGTACATAACTCTTCTTTTCTCGGGAACTCTAGCTGCTTAGTCGTCATTGACGACTCGTCAAACCATTAACTTCCAATCGTTGGCTGTCTTTGATGGACGCCAAAACATTCCGCGGAAAAGACAGTCTACAGATGCCCAAGTCTCCATTTTGTAGAATCACTCACCCATGATAAAACCTTCCAGCAAAAACAATTTTTCTCTTAAAGTGTGCAGCTTATATAAAAAATCCGAAAAATAAAGTCAATTCTTTTGCACGTAGAAACAAGATTTGCACAATTTCGTTAACAATATATTCATAGTCTCCTTCAGTCCGCCACGGGTGGAGGACTATAGTATTCGACGTGTATATGTGACATGTACATTCGCCAATTTGTGATTTTGACCCCTACCGTAAACCTACGGTAACAATGCATTTCGTGCGGAGGAAGTGTGACATTTCTGAACACCATGCCGAATAACCCCTCTGTGCGAAGTTACAGCATTTTGAGATTTTGGCGCCTACCGCACGCCCACCGTAATCCGAGAAAATGACGCGACGTACAAAACCGATGTGATATTCGGCGTCAGCGGACCGAATAACCCTCTGGGCCGAGTTTCGGGCAAATCCGTGATTTTGACCCCTACCACAATCCTAGTAACTCCACCTGATGGTGCTGTCGCACGAAATAAACATCATATTCGTGTTCAGCGTACCAGACCTCCCTAGACGAAGTTTTAGCGAAATTCAGGATTTTCATTTTTGGGTCAATTAATGTGGAATAGCGCCAGCTAAACAATTCGAGTTTGGGATGAATGGCGTCAAGAAAGCTTTGCAAGCTCGTTCTCATATTAGCATTCAGCTGAAATATTTAGGAGTTTTTTACGGAGAAACCCTCACTTCATAGACGCCTACTAAACGATATTTTCTTAGCAAACATTCGAATAATATACACAATCAGAAATATATCTTCATTCTTCATCAGTACAGACAAAAAAGTCAAACTCTATTAAATCATGCAGAAAGACGTGAACACAGCAAATCTTCGAATGACCAAATTTCGAATCGATGACAAAGATAATGGGGAGACAGGAATCATCGCTATGGGTCACATCAATTGCACCAAAATTAATATAACTAAACGTGAAAGCAAACACTTAGTGAACCTGCAATTGGACAAAAGATGGGATCCAAGCACACCGAAAAAGGCACCCATACTCAGTAAGATCATGAACACAATGACAAGCAGTTGATATAAAGTATATTCATGTATTCAAAATTTGTTAAAATTTACTAACCTGATGAGATACACGATCACGAATGAATGAACACAAAATGAGCTTCAAAACGATGAACAATTCTCATGAGCTAGATTTCTTATTAAGATTATTAGCACACCATTTCAAAGAATTTTTTCTACTTCTTCTCAGAACGATTGTCGACAAAAGCAACTCCTGGTCCTCCGTTGGCAAAACGGCGTCGTCCACCAGGTGAAGCAGGAAGACTGCAGTGGAGTCATTGGGAAACTACATATCATAAGCACTGCAGATGTTAGAAACACACCTCTGAATGGGACACGTCGAGTCCTCGACGGCTTGCGTAGATCCGTCAGAAATCAAAGGCGAAGATTCCATAGGAGCTGTAGGCTCAGCTTCCAAATTCTGCAATTTAACCCGCTAACTTCAAACCACGTTGATTGACTGAGGTGTACGTCGTGACAACTTACACCAACACTGAGAGAACGCATGCGTACCATGGGTTGTGCTATTGCGTATGACTTTTTGTCATTGAAAGAAACATCCCGGCTGTCACCAGCAGCCTCCATTCGCTTTGCCAAGCCCATTTTTCTTACCTAGAGGCAAAATAACAGGATAAATGTGCTTCTAAATGTCTCAAGTAAATATATTCTTACAGTTGCAGGCAGGTTGGTGAAGCTCGGCCAGTACAACATCCCCGAATCTTTCCTCATCTCAGACTCCTTTCTCACAGTGCACTCCTCGGATGGAGACACTGTGGCGGCGCCCCTGTCAAAGTCACTTTGGCAACAACTTGATGAATCTCAAAGTTGTGAAACATACTTGAACGTAGGCTGCACAGTGATTTTCCAAAGCTGGTGCGCGATATCGTGCGTAACAAGACCTCCAGCGTTCACATTTATGAATGAAAGTAAGAGAATGCCATCACATCTGAAGTCAGAAATAGCGTTAGGGGATATACGAACATGAGGTTCATGTAAGGCACCATACTTGACTTGATCCGCTTGATACACTTCATCCACACTATTAGAAATCGATAAATCACCCAATAGCAAAGCGATGCCCACTTGATCCAATTCATCCACTTCGCTATTGGTCAGATCAGCAAACTGACCATTAACGAAGTGGATTGAAAGGATCAAGTGGATCAGCGGATCAAGTGTGGCGCATGCCTAACAAGCATAAAAGTCACATAAATGGCTAGCGACATCCACTACACGTCAAACATTGACCTGACTTAGGAAATTTGCCTAAGAGGTACCTGAGAACTTTGTGCACAAAATAATCCACAAGTGCTCTACTTGCGACTGGAGTTGGACGTACACCATGCTCAGCAGCAGCGTTCGAAAAAAGCACGTCTTGTGTCTGAAGTAAGATTATGAGATGATAACTTTTCTGAATCGAAGGCTCACCGGTAAAAAGTTGTCAGCAATTAGCCCGCGATACATTGGTAGGAACAATGCGACCGTGTACCTTATTGCTGAGAATGTAGATGCAATGGCAACGAAAACTATCCAGAACCAGAGGAAGGTGTAGATCTTCTCGTTGATAAAGTTGAGCATTAGTACGCACTGCATATGTTCTTGATGCAGATTTGCCAAGGCCTGCGATATACATCATAATGATAACGATTAACCGGCAAATAGACAATAACTTACAAATCTTGCAACATCGCACAGAACTATTCTAGGGAAAATGCCAGTGTTGGGGTCGTCTGTTCCACTAACTACTGTGGATAAGAGCTAAAATTGCAAAGACTGAAACGCATTATGATCCACCTAATAGTCGCGTGTATGGGTGAAACAGAATAAGCGTAGCACAAAATGCTATTTTTTCATCTCAACTGCAAGATAGGTGATGTCGTAAAAATCGTAACCAGATTGTTTGTGTCATAGGGAAAGAAGCTTTTACTTTTGAGTGGTCAACTTAGCCATATTCAAACTTTCTAAAGTCATAAGTAGTGAATTGGTTCGACGCTCGAAACATCTCATTTGAAATTTCTTGCGCTGCTGTATCTTTATTTTATGCTATACTCTTCACAAAAATTGCCACTTACATGGTATCCCCAGAAGTAGTCACCCTGTCCTACGAAACAAGAGAGCATATACAGTTGCCCAAATGCGTTTATCACTTCCAGCCATTTCGTTACCACATAACATATAGTTGCGATGGAGGAGCCAAAAAATGACCTAACAACGTATAATGAGGAAAGATGCTACCCAAAAAAGTAACCACCTTTTACGTTTAGCCTCCAAGAAGTCCTGCACGAAGGTCGCAAGACTATTAAGTGCCGTTGTACGATCTTCACCAGTAAGCGTTCTCAACTTATCCGCCTCAACTACGGCTGTTTCCATGTCGACACCTTAAAGCGAAATCGTGTAAACGCACATCGAAAGGGTTTATTAATGGAACTGCTGTACTTACCGTGACACCAATGTAGACCTATCAATTTCCAGAAGAACTTTGGTAACAAGAAAAATAAGGCTTGCAGGAAAAGCACATAGGGAACCCACTGAAAATACATCACATCCCTACGAGCAGTAATGGGTGGTTTGAGAAGAGCATTATTCTGAACGCTTCGAAAATAAATTTATTCAGAACGGCGAAAAAGTCAAGATGCATTTTGAAATGCACTTTGCTACTCGTACCATCTAATAGGAAACAGAGCGCCAGATCAGTTTGCGCATACTGCAGTAGCCCCTTTCGCTAACACTAGCCGACTGAGAGACGCTGAAGCCGGCTACCGCCATGTTCTTATTAGCACAAATTCACCGTATGGGTCGTCAAGTAGACAGACAGCTTCAAATATAGATAATTATTAGCAGTTTTTGAGCAAATCTGTGGATCCAGCATTCTCTTATCCACGACATATAATGTATGGTTTTTTGCACATAAAAAGGTGTTCCAAAAATGTGCATAAGTTCGATGGTTACTTTCTCCCTCGCACTAAGGTCTTTCGATCTTTGGGTACCATTCTGTAAAACTAATAACTTAGATCCTCTACAAAGCGATTCATTGACCACCCTACATCATTGAGTATTATCCTGAAGATAAGAAAAGGGCCATATTTTTCTCAGATGAAACTAAACAACCCCAAAAACTCTTTAAGTAGGCTGCTTAGATCTGATTATAGAATATGCACTTTACCGTAAGCTTTTGAGTTAGTAATGTGTACTGTAAGAACTCTTAGTCAATGTTCCTTGGGTTGAGCATCGCAATCAGCGTACTGCTAAAGCCCCTGCACGCAACTAGTCAAATTTCTTGAAGCCCTGGTAAGCGGCAGCTATCACGCTTAGCGTATACACACCCTGCATATTGCCTGTATGCTACACACCAATTCTTTTCATTGTAATCGTAGCTTTGAGGACGGCCGAGAAACTGAGATGGCCATGGAAAGATAACGTAAACCAAAGTTATACCTGGTAATACATTATTCGAGGAGACCAGTGACGACTGACGTCATCTTTGCGGAATCTGCCTATAGGAGTGTAGTCAGCGCCAGCTCTGGAGGAAACAAAATGGTAAGGAGATTAGGAAATTCTAGTTAAAATGAGAAATTTAATCGAACGAACCTTTGCTTTGCTTCGTATTCTATGGATTTTCGCACATTCATATCAAAAATACGCAACTTATCTTGAATATAGCAGTAATCATGGTAGTAATGTACCCAGGAGTCTGCAATGCCGTTGAATTATTTCGAGCTTTCACCTTCATTCAAGGGCTTACCGGGACTTTCAGGAGGAGCCATACATTGTATAGGATTACCGAAATGTTGCTTGGAGCCTGTTATCAATACAAAAAACGCCAATAGATACACAGTAGCTCCAAAATTTAGACGATCAACAAAATCTTCGACCAGATAAGAGTCGACTTTCGACAAGATATCGAACACACTTGGTAGGTTTAGCATTGAGATTGTTATCTACAGTACCAAGACCTAAAGAAGTGGTGAATACTCATGCCATAATCAGATGCCAAAAGAAAGATTACTTCTACAGTAGTAGTCGGAAAGAAATATAAACCACCAACACGTAGACAGTATACCAGTCCGAATGAGAATACTCGCTAAAGAAGCAATGATAACCTCTAGTTAACAGCAGAATAGAAGGCAGACGATGCAACGATACCGGCTGGAAAAAAACGAAAATGAGTGCCGCATGGCCGGAAGTGACCGGAAATGTCGTCATTTCTGGCGGACAATCGCCAAAATCATTCGATAATTGCGGGAGTTTGAACGTATTTTTGCCACAGCTTGAAGTCCCAAAATTTTTAACCCTCAGATTGATACGTCAACAGAATTCCGAACTTGGAGTTTCATTGTCTCCGAGACGCGATCAAAGAGTCGTGGGCTCTATAAGTGGCTATCCGGGCCCGAAAACAAAGTAGCGGAGTTTTGCTCATGGGGTGATTTGATATGCTGGTTAGGAAATTTATAATCATTTTGCATGGTAGGGGCTTTTCGAGGATAACTTTAATCACACGGTATGGGGTCAATTGCTCATAATTCGCTGCAGTGGTAAGGAGGTGGGGGTTGACATGCTCATCACGTCATATTCACTCCTCACAATAGTCTCATAATGAGATTGCGCCTAAGTTCATGGTATGTATTAGGTACCTACAGGCCTTGTAAAAGCTAAATGCCAGCGCCGCTACAAGACAGGTGTTCGAGTTCGTTGCACGCCGATCTTACTGTATTGCGGTTGTGATATTAGTCACGGTTAATAGTGTTGGGAAACTATCGCAACCGGAAGCAAGAAGATCGCCATGCAATGATACTGTTATAGCTGTTGTCGCGGTAGATGGCGACGACGGAATCGCGTGAACTCTGCCCGAGGCCTTACACAATATATTTTAGCCAGAAAAGTCTTTCTAAATGAGGCGGGCACCCCTTATCGGGTGGAGGACTATATGTCGCCGAATGTGGAAGAGTCCCGCGGATTTTCTGCGATAACGCATGTCCGCGCATGTAGGTACTACAAGGGTGCGCATATGTCGCAAATGACCGCGGACCGCCCCTTTTCGGCGACATGTAGTCCTCTACCCCCCCCCCCCCCCCTTATCGCTTAGGTAGGTGCCAGAGTAAGCGAATATTTTGTTCAGGTTGGGGTCCCGCGCAGAATGGACGTCACTCATCATGCTGGCGTCAATCCAAATGACGTCAATTCTGCGCGGGACCCCAACGTGAACAAAATATTCGCTTACTCTGGCACCTATAAGCTCCTGCAAGACGAAGGCGGTTGGTCGAGGTGCGACGTGGCTGTGACGCGGCTGTGACGCTGCTGTGACGCAGCCATGTCGCAGCCGCGTTGCACATCGAACCGACCGCCTTCGTCTTGCAGGAGCTTATACCTTATGTAGCTTGTATCGCGTCGGGACCCTACGCCTCCAACCGCTGCGCGCGCTAGCGTTCAGAGGAGGTGCGGGCAGGCAAATTTTACAAGTCCTATGCCAAAATCACGAATTGAGCCAATTCAATGCTAATAGCATGGTAGATCTTCTGGAGTTAAAGGCAGTACGGGCAGATTTGGACACCGGATACTATTATAACCGAGTAACAAGGCCTCGATCTAACCCTTGATGCAACTGGCTTGGTTGCTGGAAGGCGGAGCTCTGTGACCTAATTAGAGCCGCTCGCGCCAGCGGCGCACTCTGCGTCTCTCCCGCGCGCCTGCTCTCTGACCATTACCTACCCTTACTTAGGTTACAAAGCCTCGCCTTCCAGCCGCCAAGTCAGGTGAATCAAAGGGTAGAACTTTCGCGCATATTTGACATTCGAGCACCCCTGCGAAAGGAGAAAAGCGGAGCAGAAAGGAAGGAGGACTACGAGGACTACGCCCACTCCCTTGCGCCACCCGCCCCCTTGAACAAGTCTCCCCAACTCTTGACGTGTTTTCACATGGGAAACACAGTCGACAGTGTATCGTCGACTCCACGATTCGTGTAGAGGCGAGGTTTTGCCAACTCAGAGCGTGGCGGTTTTTGATAGCGAGAGAGTACGAAGAACAATGGTATGACGTGGAGGTTTAGCAAGTTTACCTGTGTTATCAGGCAAAGTCTGCAATACACTATATATACTACACGAATCGTGGAGACGATCATACCTTTTAATGCTTGCTTTCGACAAGGATAGCATTAAGAGCACTCGTCCACGGTCCTTACAAAATTGTTTCAAAAGTGGGATTTTTGAGGAATTCACACATGTTGCGTGCTACATTTGGAAACTGCGTCAAAGCCTGGACATGGCAAAGAAATAGAAGTCGAGGTTCTGCCTGGACACTGCCTTTAAAGGCAGTGTCCGGGCAAAAACTCGATTTTGAGATTTTATGCTTACTTGGGCCTATTCGCTACGCTGAATCCAAAAATGCACATTGTAGAGCGCGAAAATGGCGAAAAACAGCTCTAACAGAGAAGGGAAATGAGCAGGTGGGCGGGGTCCTCCCCACTGCGAATTCACGTTCCCGGCTTCCGGAGCGACCTTCTCGCTTCCGGTTTCAAGTCAATCATTCGCACTTGACCGGTAGCGATGTTAGGACGGCTAGCGGAATCGAGAAAATCGCTCCGGGAGCTGGGAGCTTGAAATCGCACTGGGGAAAGCCCCGCCCACCTGCTGATTTCCCTCCTATGTTAGAGCCCTTTTCCGCCGTTTTCGCGCTTTCCAATGTGGATTTTCGGATTCAGCATGATGAATAGCCCGTATAAGCACAAAATCTCAAAATCGAGTTTTTGCCCGGACACTGCCTTTAAGGTGGATGTGCGGTTTGGAATCGGAATCCCAAATCTGCCCAGTACTTCGTCTAGAGATTTCTCAGAAGCTGATGATAAACTTCAGAAATACTTTTTTTTGCTCAGGAACGCATCGCAAAATGGTGCTTTTCGGGCGCTATCAACATCATAATGGCTACATACACATATACGCACATGCTACATACATACACACCAGTGGCGTACCGAGGGGGGGGGGCGGGGGGGGGCGCGCGCCCCCCCCCCCGAGAATGGGTCGCGAAATTTTTGAAAGTTACTTATATGGGTTATAAAAAGGTGCAAGTGACTTGTTTATTTTTGTAAATAATTAAAATAATTTTTAAAAATTTTTAAAAAATCAAATTAGCCTTGTAAAAAAATTTTTTTCGGGGGCGTGGCTAACGCCACGCCCCCTTTTTCCAGATTTTAGGGGTCGGGGACCCGCAAAAGTTTTGAGAAGCACCCCAAAAATTTTTTCGGAGTGCGTGGCTAACGCCACGCACCTTCTTTAGAAAAAAATTTTTGTCGCGCCCCCCCCGAGCCGAAATCCTGGGTACGCCACTGATACACACATATACCCTATTTTCCGGAGTATAAGGCGCATTTTCGTGCACCGCGCGAGCAATTTTTGCCACGACGCCGGCGATGTGCGACGCAAAGGCAGTGGCACTAACTTTTCGTGACAGTCTTGCGCATTCGTTTTCTGTCAAAACAGTTGTGATCATGAGTCGCGCGGAAAATCAGTCTGCTCTATGTTTAATTCATTATATTCAGCTAAACGGAAATTTTACACTGAAACACCCGTACTCAAATATTTTCGAGAGTAGGAGGGGATTAGGCTTGTTTAGACAGTGAAATCTCTCGTCTCGCCTCTGCACTACATTTTTCTGCAACTTACCTTTATTTTGATACAGTCATGTAAAAAAAGAGCTTTGTCCCTTTAGCCATGCGAAATATGGTTCATACATGATCAAGAGTTTCATGCAACTGCTGTCAAGAAAAAACATGTAATCCACCTGTTCACAAATTTCGGGTGTGGTGCGGAAGGCGACAACCCCCAATTTTGTGCCTATCAAAAACTCTCCGGTGTCAAAGTGACACCCCGGGGGACTGCGGGGGTGGGGGTGGGGGCAGACACGTTGCTCAATGCCACAAGTAGAAATCCGTGAAAGTCATTGAGACGGATGATACACAGCCTCCATTCTTCGCCGATTGTCCCCTTCCGCGTGCTCCCCCCCCCCAAATTTCAAGTATCCCTAAAAGCTAATGTCAAGTCAGTTGCAAGCAAAATTCGTATTGCACAACACCACGCGCCCTTTTTGACGACTATAGATAGGATTAGAAACTGCTCATTTTTAGTAATTTCTCCCTGCTTGCTTGTCTTTTTTGATTCAGCTGGATATGTATTCGTTAGCGGTACGCACTTCACTGTTGTTATAGTCGTCCTCACCCCACTAGTCGGTCGGTGGATGAATTCGAATTCGAACTGGAGCAAGCAGGTCGCGGCAGAGCACGGCAAATTAGCTCTCCGTTCAAATTCGCGCATTCACTTTGCGTATTTCTTAGCCATTGCTTAACAGTTTTTGTATTGTTATGTCAAGTTTGAAGAGTTAGCTAATCTCTTAACTTGATCCCTCTACTCTAAGTTTCTTCCCTTTGTACTAACATAACAATTCTTGACTAGATCCTTTTATCGTTATAACATCAATATAAATAAGGGGAACATAATTGGGGAGGGGACCACTGAGCACCCGGGGAGTGCCAGCTCATCTGAAGTTGGTGGCACCGCCCAAGTCGGCGAGGAGACTGTCGGACCATCTAATTGGTCTGCGTCTCGACATGTCCGTTCCATGGCAAAGCTCGTCCTCGAGCTTTTGAGGTTGGCCATGGTTATTGAATTGTCATCAGTGGCTTCGCTGGAAGTTGCCCATATGCATGGTTGCGATGTCATCATTGAGTTGGACGTTGCCCATATGTACAGTTGACGTTGCCCATACGTGTAGTTGATGTTGCCCATTTACCATTTGCTGCTTTGGTTGAGGGCAGACTTGCTTCGGGCGTTAGTTGCTGGATTTTTCTTCACAAGGACAGGGGTAAAGGGGTGAGAAGGCACGCTTTCGCACGCCCTGTCAGAAGAATGAGCTCGTCCTCGAGCTGAGGATAAATGAAGCAACATGAAGTTTGAACGATAAGCAACTGGGGTACGGATGAAGGGCTTCCGTAGTCATTTGGGGAGGCGGATAAGACTTCCGCATGGTGGTAAAATATGACATAGGGTATAGGGGAAGCGGATAAAGGCCGCTCTGGTGACGAAATGTGACATACG